ACTAGCTCACTCTGACTTCAGGTGGATTTGAACCAAGTTTGGGCTGAGTGAGCGCAACCGCAGAAGTTAATGGCAGTGTAAACATGTCCTATTGCAGTAAGTGTTATGTGGGAAGCGTGTCTGACAGATAACCTTCCTTGATAATGTCACCACAGGCTTTGAGGAAGGATGCACAGCAGGTCTCTGGAGGGTTTGTAACTGCCAATGTACTTCAGAGTAGTAGAGAACTTCGTGTTAGATGCTCTCTTTGGCCTTGAGTGGAGGGAGCGTTTGACAGAGTTGCAGGTCCCAAGGGTGTTTGGAAGTGTCCCTAGTGAAAAAATAGGAAGAAAACAGTGTTGGCTGATTGAGGAAGAGGCTGTTTTACTTATACATCAACACAAAAGAGTTGTATTGATGTGCAGGTCATCCCAAGGCAGCATTGTATGCCTGGACAGCCAGGCTCTAACCATCTTCCACTCGTGACAAGCGAGGCACTTGTAAGTTGGCACTGCAGCAGGAGGTGACTTTAGGATACTTGGGGACTGACATGGGGCTGGGAAGTTCAGCCATGGCTGACTTGAGGTTGTCATGCCAGAATGTATCTGCATCTATTTCTGAGCTCCCTGAGATTTCTTGCTGCTGATGGAGATGGATTTTTGCCTTTGGGAACCCAAGGGTGTGCATTGCACTCATAATTGGCCTGAACTGAACTAGGGGAAACTGCTGATGTGTTCCTTCTCTCCTGCAAGTGATGTGTTTTATAAGCTGCCTCGTGGACCACTTGTGACTGAACATAAAAGTGGGAAAGGGAAAAGAGGGAGGTAAGAGGTGTCACTTATGGATGGCAATGCCTCTGTTTACATGTTTACCATGTGCAATTAATACCTTAATTCCTCTCCCATTCAGAGGAAAAATATAATCCCAGTCATCTAAATCTGTGGATTAGCATTTTCTCTGCTACATATGTCTGTTGATCAGCAGGCTGCTTCTCGAATGTGATTGATAGCAAGGAAAGCAATATTAAAAAGACATAGCAGCAGCTGGTCCTGTTGTTAATGGTGCTGGTTCCAGCAGCTCCTAAACTGGGCAGATTGAGTACAGAAGTTGATGGTCAAGGCCGGGAGGTTGGTGCTCAAAGGTCGGGGCAGGGGGAGGTCTGTGGAGTTCACCCCCCGGGTTAATTGCTGTGTGGTTCCTAGGCCTGATAGTGAGCTGTCGGCCCCGCACTGAGCACACAGTGTTCGCTCCAGAGATTAGGATGAAAATATGTTCTCCTTGCTAAAGAGAGCGCATAAACAACCCATGAACGGCCCATTAACCTACAGAATCGCAATAAAGAACATGTGGCAAAGCAAGCCAGAGGAGACCTGTGACCCAGCAAATGCCTTAATTGGATTTTGAACCTTATCATCTGCACTAAATGCAGCTAATAGGAAATTAGCAAAAACAAAAGAAGAGAAGAAAGGAAGGGTGATGGATGATGCATGTCTAGGTTTGGTGGGAGCATCTCTACAGTTCCTCTCATGATGCAGTTCAGTGATCAAAGTGTTGTGGGTGGTTGTGGAATTACAGAATTGTAGAATCACAGGATGGTTTGAGTTGGAAAGGACCTTAAGGGTCATTTAGTTCCAACCCCCTGCTATGGGCAGGGACACCTTCCACTAGACCGGGTTGTTCCAAGCCCTGTCCAACCTGGCCTTGAACACCGCCAGGGTTGGAGCATTCACAGTTTCCTTGGGCAACCTGAGCCAGTGCCTCAGCACCCTCACAGTAACGAATTTATTCCTTATATCTAACCTGAATCTCTCCTCTGTCAGATTGAACCCATTACCCCTTGTCCTAGCACTGTAGTCCCTGATGACAAGTCCTCTACAGCATCATGTTATTATGATTATTATATGATAGTATGAATTATGGTGTTATGAGATTATCAGGGTCCCACTCCCATCTGATAAAACCACTTCAAAATGACTGAAAAGAAATATTTTTCCTGTTGGCTGCAACCAGTGAGCAGCTCCAGGAGCTATGCAGTCTCTTGCCTTATCGTTCAACCCACGTACCAGCCACTTGCTGTGCTCCATATGGCTTTTTGAAACGATAGGATGTAAATTTATGTTATTGCTCTCCTAGCTGTGATATTTAAATTCAGTTCAGAACAGAAGTGTATGTTGAGAGTTATTAGTGCAAACTGAGGGGGAAGGTGATGGAACATGCCCATTATGTGTACTCTACCAGCAGGTCTTGCTTTTCATGTGGAGAGTGGCAGCAGAGCTCAGATACCATCAGCCACTAGCTGTAGTCATCCAGCTTAAATTCCCCAGGCCCTTTCCACTGCTGTGAACCCACCAGATGGCTGAAGAGGGGCAACCACTTGATGGTGGTGGTCTTCAGCTGAATTCAAACCAATTTAAGGGCAATCAAACCTTGTCTCCTTCCACTTGGTTTGATGGTTCAGCACAAGCTTCAGGCACCAGCAGTTGATTGGGGTTGCCTGCATAAAGATGATCTCAAATGCTAATTGCATTTTCAGAATAGGACAGTTGTAATTATTTAGACTCATATTTGTTTTAACCATGTTTTGGATGCAGGTTTTTAGTCCAAATTCCTTTTATAATTGCAAGGTCAGTTTTCATGCAAAAGGTTACATGTTTGCAGATCTATTTTGGAAGTGTTCTGCAAAGTGCATCTGTTACATCCAGGCCAGATAATCAAATAGTCATGCACCTCAGAGATTCTGAGAAAGAAGACAAATTCTGTAGGTGCTTGTGGTTGTGTAAGTATATGTAAGTATATAATCTTAAAAGGTTCTAAGTAACTATATAAGTGTATATCTAAGGGTTAATGTGTAATTTCTTTTATGGCTGTGTAAATTCAGCTTAGCAATATTTTTCTCTACTGTTAGGAGCACATCAAAGGCAAGCTTTCTTTTCTGTGGTAAGTGATGGGTTTTCTCAGAGGAAGGACTGATTAGGAAGTAGCCAATAGGGAATGTTACTGGATGATGGGAATGTGTGGCTTACACAATGTAGTGGCAGAGGCACAGACCACTTGGTTGGTGTTGGAAAGCTGCTGTAGCACGTGTTCTGAGACCCTTGAAATCATGAGCTTGGGCAGGGAGCAGTGGTACATGCTCACCAGGATGTATATGCAGACCAGCACCAGTATGTGGTCCCTCAGTTGCTTGCAGCTGTGCCTACGTGATGGTAGTGTTGGAAAACACAGATGGATACACCTAGCTGGCAGGTAGAGAGGCTGGTCTGCTATGCTGTGTCCTAAGGGGTGGTCAGAGCTGTCAGAGATTTTCTTACTGGGGTCTGTGATGAAAGGCAGTACTGCTGAGGACTTTGTGACAGGGGGAAGGAGGAGCTTGTAAATGTCCCTGCTCTCATTGAAGTGCGAGAAGGAAATTCCTTTCAGGCCATTTAGCAGGACATGCGGTACTCTGAGAACCTGCTCATTGGTTGTCTTCTCTCGTGCTGGGTTAGGATGTTAAAGAAGGGACATGTTGCTCCTCTATAAACATGTAAAGCCAAAAGACTGGTGGTTGCTCAGGTGCCCAACAACCTGTTCTCTGGATAGCATCTCTGGCCATGTTCAAGGCCAGGTTGGACGGGACTTGGAACAACCTGCTCTAGTGGAAGGTGTCCCTGCCCATGGCAGGGGGTTGGAACTGGATGGGCTTTAAGGTCCCTTCCAACTCAAACCATTCTGTGATCCTGGCCTGAGTGCCACAGGGGTTTCCAGATGCGTGGCTCTGTGTGTTGTTATCTCTCCAACCTGAGCTGCAGAGCTGGCACGGCGCAAGTTCTTGGATGCCCAGGGAACTACAAGAGCACTTAGGACTGCAGATAGACTTACAGTAGAAATGTGGTTTATGTTTTGAAAGCACCATCACCCTAACTGATGAAGAACTGAATTTACATCAACCTCTGCTGAATAATTTAAGAGGAAGGCTATGAAAGTTTCTTAAACCCGAAAGTGGAGGAAAGGGCATGTTTCTTACCGGTTCCTTTCTTCACATTACAAATTGAGACTGTGTTTACCCTTGAAAAATCAATAGTGATTGGACACCTGGTGTCATTAATTATTTTGCAACAGACAGGCAGCTGATCTTCTGAAAAGAAAGGAGTTTTTAGCAGAACTGTTCAAAGTTCATAGTCTGCTGTTTAACTCTAATGCTAATAAACATTCAGCCTAAAGGATGTCTGTCTTAGAATTTCACATTGTCACACCTTCGCTTTAAGGTGATAGGATCAGGAAAAAACCTGTAGACCCCCAGAAGTCCTCCAGGAAGGTGACTTTTGGGGCATGAGCTCCAGTTGTGTTTGGGAGATGCTCTTAGGTCTTAGGATGTGGACAGGGATGTTTCTGGGTTTTCATCTTGAATCAACGCATGTGATTCACCCCTGGAAGGGGTTTCTGCCAGGTTTGCTTGAGCTAATAGTGCAAATAAACTTTGGTTGCACTGTTGTGTTGAACATGGTTTCTTTTACCTAAACAGTCAGTCTTTTCCCAATAGGAAGGGTTGTTTTCTTGCAGTGCATTGGTGCCTGACTAAATGCATTGGGTCGCATTCTTCATGTATAGATGAGACAACCTCTCTGTTAAATATTCCCATGCTCTCCAGTGGTAGCTCTGGGAAGGTCACAGCCTGCCTTGCAGGCCAATGGGTGCCCAGATCCTTGTTGGCAGGGAGGGGGAAGCCAGCTATGGGATGCTGTCACAAGCAAGCCCCAAAATAGCTTGGTTGAAACTGGTTTTACGTTGTATAAAAAAGAGGGTGAAGGATCTCGGAGACTCAGAGTACGCAAGGTCCTTGGGCACGCACCATAGAGCATATTGGTTTTGAGCTTGATAGTGCTTTTTTTACAAGGGTTGCAGATTGCTGTAATATAGTTAAGGACTGTAGGAAGAGGCAAGTTTTCCTGAACTTTACTCCCAGCTGGAAGTTTTAAGAAGTGAAGTGAGAGGCGAGGGAGAGGGGGAGGTAGACGTACCCTCCGTCCACAGCGCCTATGATGTCAAATGGAAAGGACAGCCTGGAAAAACAGCTGAATGGCTTTGGGGAGAAGGGGAAGGAGAGGAGCCGCACATCCCTGGTCATCTCTCAGGCCGTTAACCGCAGTATTTTCACCTCTGCAGTCTCCCCCGCTGCTGAACGCATCCGCTTCATCCTCGGAGAGGAAGATGACAGCCCGGCACCTCCACAGCTCTTCACGGAGCTGGATGAGCTTCTGGCCATCGATGGGCAAGAGATGGAGTGGAAGGAGACTGCAAGGTGGGTTGCTTTTCCTTTACCCTGAAAGGGAAGGGCACCTGCACAGGACCCCATGGGAAATTCCTTTCTTATGTTCCATTGGGGTAATTCCTGTGCTTGGGGAATCCACTGCAAGGAGCTTGTGTACCTTTCTTTGGTGAAAGAGAGAATTCAAGGGTTTGTTTAAGTATTCCTTTAACACAAAAAAATAGGCTGCCAGTGCTCTAAGAGGGGAGATTTAAATTAAACATTGGGAAGAAATTCTTCCCTGTGAGGGTGCTGAGGCGCTGGCACAGGTTTCCCAGAGAAGCTGTGGCTGCCCCATCCCTGGCAGTGTTCAAGGCCAGCTTGGACACAGGGGCTTGGAGCAACCTGCTCCAGTGGAAGGTGTCCCTGCCCGTGGCAGGGGGTTGGAACTGGATGAGCTTTAAGTTCCCATCCAACCCAAACCAGTCTAGGATTTGTTTGAATAGTTAGCTTCTGGAGAGCAAACAAACATATGGGCTTGTTTGTGCTTTGCGAAGAATGACAGTGTCTTGGCCAGAGTTGCCAGAAATCTGTGCCCTGAACAAAGCTTCTGCACGTGTGTCTAAACTACTTCAGTAGATTAGCGCCTGACCCCACCACACACCACCAGTTGGGAAATTTTGGCTGTATCTCTCTCGTAGCAAGTTACCAATTAAATTCATTTTAAATAGGCAAAACCCCTTAAAGTTATTTTCTTTTAAGTAACTTAATCAGTGTGTCTGTTAATGCTGGATTGGGTTACCTGCTTTGAGTTTCCTGGTTAGTTTTTCTGCCTGTTTGATGGTGCTCTTGGTTTGGTAAAAAAAAATAAGCCAAAAAACAGGGTTTTGTTTTTTTTTTTTTTAAATCTGGTTGCCTCAAGTCACACATAGTTTGTTTGTAACTGTAGTATTTCACCCAGCCAGAGAGCATTCCAGGCTCTACCTCCCCTCTTCCCAGCCGCCCTCACTTAACTGGGGGCTTTTTATTTCCTTTCTTGTGGCTGGGCTAAGCTCTTTCCTCACCTCCCAGTCTTAAGGGCACCTTAAGCATGAGATTGCGCTCCTCATTAGCCCATGTTGTTTGGTCACCTTAATCTTCTTTACCCGTGATGTAATGAACTGCTCCACCACCTACTGCTTTGCCCCCTTATCTTTATTTTTATGTCTCAGCCACTTGGAGAACCTATTTAAAGGCTTTTCACCTTTTTAACTTCTTGCTTGTTGGTCATCCTTTTCTCCCTTTATTGCTGTTCTTCCCTCTTATCATTAGTTTGGTGCTTATGTTTTGTCATCTGTACTGCCCAGCTCTGCTTTTATAGCAGATGATGCTTTCCTCTGTTCCTATGTATTAAACCCCTTTGGGAAGGGGTTTTAATGACAAGTTGTTAAAGCTTTTCACAATTCAAACCTTATTGTGGTATTTCTTACTGAGCAGTCCCTTCAGTCTCTCCTTTATGGTAGGAATATTGGGAAGCTCTGTTTTCCATAAGTCCACAAATGTCAGCCACTGGAAGAAAGATGCCCTGTGTCCTGCATGTAAGGTCACAAAGCTCTGCTGTGTCTTGAGGAACATTGGTCAGGAGCCCTCCGCTCTTACATCCAGAGGGCCTTCCAGTGGGATATACACTCCTCATACTGTCAGGTGGCTGTAGGGAA